TATCGTTCCTGTTGTCCCATCCTACGGATATCCTTTCCATTGCTTTTATCTCTGCGGTGTCCGCACTTTTTCTGACTTTCTCTCCTATTTTTTTTTTCAAACGCATATAGAGAAATATTTACATGTACATGACGATGTTTATCAACGCGATCAGAAAAACACAGCACAGCTTCCTGTGTTTTTATCGAAAAGGAAGTACAGTTTTTTTTTCAGTCTTAACCGACTCGCTCGAAAAAAATCGAGTTGCAGAATACATTTAAACGCTTTTAACAAAAATTCAAAATTCTATCTACAGCCAGCCATTAGCGATCGATATTTGATTAATCCGTCGAATGCATTTTGCGATGGGTTTTACCTGCCGTTAAAAATTATTCAATAGTAAATCTGCGATATGGGCTCTTATAGGTCAGTCGATGTGTTCAACGTCATGAAAATATGAAATTGTTGTAACATAAACATGGTATTGTTACCGAATCAAAATAAAGAGATGAATAAACGTAGGAGAAGCCATATGTGTGAAGGGCATAATATGTGTTATTTCGCTTTTAACGGTGAGGAAGGAAGTTTATGTTTAGACAGTGAAGGATAAAATGTGACTTGAATGAAAAACGGAATTATCATTGTGCCTATCTATAAATCCATATTTCTCGCTTCCGAAATATACGTTGACATATAATATATGGACGCTGCCGATGCTATCGAACGTTGATTGCAGACACCTCTTTCCTGCACCAAGAAGTTTCCCAGACATCTTCCTATCCTAAGCAATTCGTTTAACGACGTTGGACAAAGAGTCCAACTATTGTGCTTTCGTTTCATGTCGGTATACTCATAGACTGCTAGCGAAAATAGAAGCTAACCCAAATAAACAGTGACACGCGAGGTCGATGTTATCCTCGGTAGCAGCTCGGTCTAACTTTGATTTAACGCGAAAGAGCGGTGGCGCTTATGACGAAATTTACAAACTAAACAAACTTTTAGAAATGACAAGTATATACTATATTTTTATATCTACTCTATTTCGTTTGCTCACGGATTAGGTATACACAGCTAGTGCTGTCTGTCGATATTCTAAATCGAGAGGAGAGAGAGATTCTAAATTCTCAATAATTTTTTTCTCATATCTCTTTACGATTATTTACATACGTAAACACATTTTTATTAAATCGGAGAACAGGAAACGCTTTTATTTCGGACAATAACATTGCAAAATTATGTCTTCAGTTAGTTCTGTTATTTATGCACAGCGATATTTGATACAAATCATGTAATATGTAGATACGTGAGAAAGAAGGAAACGAGAAGCTTATATTCTACGTAGCCCAAGAAATACTTCACTCTTGAGTCGAACCGTAACACGCGGTACGGCGTGTGTCAGTCGTTTCTGCAATTTCATTTAGAGAGCTCATTTAATTTCGTTGCTGCTATTTTAAAGCTTTTTATTTTCAATTCTACTCTCAGTAAATTAAATCCACCTTCCGCAGTTTTGTACGTTTTCTTTATATCGCGATCATTCCTTCTTACCTATTTAGTTATGTTGATTCTTTATTTATGCCCGACATTAGCGGCAGACTTTACTTCCCAGATCACGGAGCAGTTTATTTCGCAGCAAAATAAATTCTCCACTTCTCTCTCTCTCTCTCTCTCTCTTTTTCCTATTGTCGAAATACCGCGAGATACACAGGAGAGATGCCGCACTTATGCTGCTTACAGTATATTTACTGCCAGATCGTAAAGGAGAGAAGAGGAAGGTTTTTTTTTTGTCAAACCGATACATCGGCCTGAGCATTTTAGAGACGAGAAGTAGTAAACTCTTTTACGGAAAAGTGTCTCCGATAGTAACGGCCACTAAAAAGCGACCATGCCACTTCGCTACGTACGGTTCTGGCAGAGCCAGACTGCTCTCTCACTAACGTTTCTCCAGAGCACACACTGCTTTCGCACGTCTTCGTTGTGTCTATTCGAGACAATGTTCCCTCCACTCACTGGAAATGGGAGGCCTCTCGTGCCGTCTCTGAGCAAGATAGTATGATCTGCCAAGTCCTCTTACTTTATACCGGCTGAGAGGATATCTTCGCAATATCGTGAGATTCTTCCTCGCGGGATATCTCGATTCTAATCTATGTTTACAAAAAGTTAAATTACTCCTATCTTCGAGTATAATCTCGTTGTAAATCTCATCTGAAACGCGCAGTTTTATTCCGTAAGATAAAAATCCCACCAGGTTGCGGAGTTTCACTATGTGCAATTAACAACGTTAACAATTAACAACGCGATTAGCTGGGCATTATTAAAATGTACGTTTCGCACAAGTTGTGTTGTGTTCATTAATACCGTCTCAACGTCGCAATTAATTAAACTTCACCGAAATGTGTACATTATGACTTTCTCTCTCTCTCTCTCTCTCTCTCTCTCTCTCTGAGCGATGGTATTCATAAGACGAATGGATGTAATTTTTCGTATAGCGACGCTCATTCTTGATGATGAAAAGCTGCTGGCTTAACTGCACTTTTCCCGTCATAACGTCCGCCGATGCATCGCCATTCGATACATCCGCCGCAGCTCATCTTTACGGCTCGCGCGATACGGTTACGGTCGAGACGCGACGTTAAAACGTGCATGCACCTTTCTCCGCCTATGAATAGCAAACGTCTTTGGCGCGCCCGAAAAGAGCGTGACACACACGCGAGCGAGCTTCTTCGCGCCCGGAGCTTTTCACGTCCCGTTCCCGAATCTCTCTCTCTCTCTCTCTCTCTCTCTCTCTCTCTCTCTCTCTCTCGAGATGTGCCCGTGGCGGGAGCTCCTTTCATCGGTATCCCACCAGACTTCGATCTTTTCGAATGCAGCTCTCGATTCTCCGATACGAGCAGACAACTTTGCACAATCTGCGAGATTGCGTGCACACGGTGACAGCCAACTTTTCCACGCGAGGCGATGCGTTGCGCATAATACAACGGTCGTTGTTACATCGCGCGTGTCCACTTATCTGCGTTCGATCGCTCGTCATGTCAGCAATATAATCATTCCGTACAGTAGGCTCGACATGTGCGAAATGATGGATAATACTAAATGACTGTCGTAACATCGATTCTTGCGAATCACTGATTCGTCCCTTTTGTGTGTGTGTGTGTGTGTGTGTGTGTGTGTGTGTGTGTGTGTGTGTGTGTGTGTGTGTGTGTGAATTCCTAGCCTGATACTACTTTCTACGATGAAAAAAGGATCCATTTGGTAATGAGTATCGAATAGCTAACACGTCGAGGTCATGACCGTTATCGTCGTTACTTTCGTATGTGTAAATCTACCGTTCTAACGTCGTAGAAACGTGTTAGAAACACACCACCGCGTCGTAACTGAAAGTTCCTAATTTCCTAATTTAATACAAAGTTTATAAAGCCCCGGGACGCACGTATTTTCCGATTACTTATCCTCGGATTACTTGCAAGAACGTGTTTTAGATACACTGAACTGTGGATCGTAGATCTAACGAGCATGCAAATTTACAATTATTCTCTTAATTCCCAAATCGATCGTATTTCTGCATATACAGTGAGAGCAAAAAGTATCTGTACAAGGAAATTTTTTTGTAAAAAAAAGCCTTATTTGTAGATAATAAACGTTAATTAGCAATTTTATACAATAAATACATTCTGTTCTTACATAAACAAACGAGCTTCACATATATTCCTGATTTTAGAAGCTCAATTTCTCGTCTGCACGAATACTTTTTGAGCATTCGAATAATAATTTTTAATTTTCGTTTATTTTTCAGGTGATAAATTTTCTATAATTAATATATATCTTTTTTATATATAATTTTAAGAAACATACAGTCTATTTTATTCTTTATGAATAAATTGTTGTCCAACAAGAAATGATCGTCAATTAAACGTTGAATCGACGTCAAATTGATGTTGAAATCATCGTACAATATTTATATCGATTCGACATCAATTCAATGACTCATTTCTCGTTGGATAGTTTTTTTAAAAACTATTTTCTTTGTACGAATACTTTTTGCACTCACTGTATTATCTCTTCTTAATACTATTTTATAGTAAGATAAATATCACTGTAAAGAGTACCTATATTCTAGAGATTCGAATTATATTTGCAGTATCCAATCGTCTTTATTTCTATTTAATGTATATAATAATATGTAAAAATTGTATTAATTTTTGTTAATTTTTTTATGTTAAATAATAGTTGATCACACATCGCCTAAAAATATATTATACTATTAATAAAACAGACAAGATAAATAAGACAAGGTGTCAATAAAATCTTTGATTTATTCGTGACTCTAGAAAACGGATTTAATAAATTGCTTCGAAATTGCTTCAAGTCTGTCAAACGAATTACTGAATAAATAAAAGAACGGAAGATCTTTACTAAATATATCGTGGATATTCGTGTATATCGTTATTATGTCAGTTTTGACACTTCAGCCTTGAATAATTAATGACAGTAAAGAAAGTAGAATTTATTTTATTGCTTGTCACACAACTATCTTAGCATGTCAAAAATTAAACATTAATATTATTTCTGTAGCGGCCAATTCAGAATTTTATTAGAACAAGCAGGACTGTAGCTCCGTGTTAAATGATTAATTGCATACATTATAAAAATTATATAAATAAAATTATATAAATGTTATCTTAAATAGAATAATCCATTATAAAATG